GCACAAGTAACAAGTCTAAAAATCATTCATCTCTAATTGTGCGTTTAATTGTTATGAGGCAAATAATTTCTTCTACTTATACATACTATGTATAATTAATAAACAACCGTAGGCCAAAATGTTTTCATGTCCATTTGTTAAAATACTTACTTCGTACGCGTTTAACAACATAAAACATTTTAAAACGACATACTTTTGCTTTCATTACACTAGTATTAAAAATAATTTTAATACAAAGAACAATTACATCGTCAAGTGTTGTTTTTTAAATTGAAATTGTTTTTGAAAACAGGCTATTGACTCATTACGTATTCCATTAAAATTTCAAAACAGAACATTCATATCAAAAACGGTGTAATACACTTACTCTGTAATAAAGTTTAGTATTACTATGAATATTTCGTCATATACATATATATATATATATATATTAACATGTCGGCGAAATTTACAGCACATACATGTATTATACAAACATATGCCATTTATACATAACGTTTATTCACGCTCAATAACATTTTATTTTTGTATTAAATTTTTAGTGCATTTCTTTATCAGTACCTTAAAAATTATTATCGGTAATGAAGATATAATTAATTAACAATCTCGGTAACTCATTAAAAACTACGTATTAGTAGATTTCTTCGGTCAATTACGAAACAAAACTTTCTCACTCTTTTTGTGGCATAATCACATTAATTTGTAGCTAATAAAAAATTAATTTGACTTTTTTTCGTTGAAAATATTGCATATCCATAAAAAGTGTGTTTTAAACTGCGTTAAAGTTAAAATTATAGCTATAAATAGTAATTATCAATTAGCAATAAAAAAACACTTTTGTAAGTGCTATATAATAAAGCAGACATGCTATAAAGGGTTACTAGTATAAATCCATTTTCCATTTCGTCATAATTGAAAGGCTAACGTTGATAAATATTTTTACCTTTTTGTTTTATAGACATCACTTGAAACTGTTTGCATGTTAGGCCTACCTATACCTGAATATGCCTATTGCTTACTATTTTTTTTTAAACTTGCATGCTACCGTAAAGCGTAAATCATAATAAATAATTACAGAAAATAAACAGGTGAAGTGTCATGACTTAACTGTTCTCAATTAGCTTTTTTTCTATTTTTAAAGACGCCTGCTCGAATAAGTAAATGTTTAGTTATATATTTACATATAAGTATCATAATATTTCTGTTATACAACAAGATTCATTTCCTCTAATGAAATTAACTTATTGCGAAAATATTCATGTATGCCGTCAGAGGTGTCTTCTAAAACGATGACATACACACTTCAAAAAATAAATAAGAACAATAAATACCAGCTAACGACAATCAACTAACCTAAATCCACACCCGACGGAAAACATTTTGGCCTAATTGGAGATTGTGATCTAAATTTATGAAAATGCTCCAATTTATTGTCATATCCACATTCAACAAACAAACATAATAATCCTAAAAAGAACCAAAACGTTCTCGATTGTACCTGAGGATAATTCTGCATATTCTAGGATAATCCAGCTAGAAGCATTCTAATGAATACATTCTCACATTATAAATGGGTATTTGGAGGCTGATGATTGACCAAAAGCCCAACACATCCCAAACTTGACAATTCATGAACATTATAGGAGATCCAAAACCGCTTTCAGAAGTCATCACCACCATTAATACATGACGCTTTTAAAAGATTCCACAATGTTCTCGACTTTTCCGGCATAGTTCATTCTAATAATAAATTCTGGCTAAGTACAACTGATGAGACATTCGAGAATATTCTACTTGTGGCTAAGACTAAAAACAATAAAAAACATTCTAGTAGGTTCTCACTTATTCTAAACTAGTGTTTGGTGGCCGATGGTCAACTCGCCAAACCTAAATCTCCGCAAATTGAAGTACTTGTTGAAATATGCAAAAATGTCCTGCACCACTTACACATAATGGTTCTAGAACATTCCAGAATGTTCTCAATCCTACCGGTCCATTCTAAAACATTCTACCTTAGAGCAAACCTAGACATTCGAGAATATTCTAGCTCAAGACAATGCTAAAAACATTCAAGAACATTCTAGTTAGTTCTCCGTTGATTTGGTATTCACATACCTACCAAACTGAAGAAATTTCGAACATTATAGGAGATACCAAATGTTTTTTAAAACTTTTTGGCTGAAATATAAAAATGCCCTCGGTCGACCACTATTATGCACCATATCTCACACAACAACCTTTAAAAAGAAAACACTAACAGTGGTTATGCCATTTTCTTGTAAACTTTCAGTAGTTATCCCTAGGTAGTTCTTTTATTTCTCTTTTTGTTTATGTTTTACTTGTCTCTTACCATTGCAAATAATGTTACAAAATCGTATTGCTAATGCATTTATAACAGCAGTCTAGATGCAGTTATTCTCAAAAAGCACAATTATGTCATTGCAAAAGCTATTTCTACGAAAAATATCTCAGTTCTAAAATGGAACAAACACTATTCAACCATTCGACTTGATAACCAAAATTTATTGTGCAATACCACCAAGTAGTTCGTTCGTTGAATAATATTTAACACAAAATAGCATAATTGTGACATTTAGTGTTTTTAATCAAAGTTAACATTGCGAAAGAATTTTGGTCCCGTTATCAGACATATCATCTTATGAGAATTTCTAAAGTACTTGACCTACAAAAAATCGATTAATTATATTAATAGTTCATTATAAATTCTAATTGCAAAACTAAATTCATATTTTATTTTACAGGTAAATACGTACTTTTTGCAAGGTTGATCGGAATGATGAGTTTATTATAAAATTGCAAAAGAATCATAAATAATTCAAGAGTTAGTAGCTAGGTTTATTGAGCACGCAACAATTAATTTAACCTTACTAATTTGCTATTCATGAGGATGATTTTGTACATTATCTTTTAATTTGCTAAGTAAGTGTTCATAAATCACACATCGATTTTTCAACTGATGCTACATAAAAAATCAGCTAAGCCAAAACATCTACAAAAACTAATGAAACGTATAGGTACCTAAATGGCTACAAATTTTGTATTGTTTACACTATTAACTTGTCTTACAAACTATCCAATAGGAATAGTCATACTGTATGTCACAAGAAACAAACCCAAAATAATCAATTTTTTGTTAGTGTATGTAGAAATGTATTGCTTGAGATAATAGAATTTCATCGATATCCTTACCAAAATGGAGTGTTAATATTAATGTAAATTGTTCAGGAAGATTTATGACCTGTAAAGAAAATATTCTATTAAAAAAAGCAATCACAGGTTCCTATAATTAGGTGCGTTAACGTTATCTTATTAACTAAAATATAGCATTTAACAGAAACCAATAAAATTGAAAAGATTCTATGTGGAATGCAAATTGAAAATGCACGATACGTGTATTTATATTTTGCCTTAAATTCTATTTCTAGGTATTGCCCAATTTCTATTACTGGCGTATATTTGGGTGAGTTCAAAGAACTGTTTTGAAGATAATAAATTCAAACCACAATGGTTTACCTTCCACCGTAATAGATACAAGTTGAGTTATCTCATCATAAATGGGTGGAAACCTGACCATTGTCGGATAAGACCTTTTTTAGAATAGTAGCTCAATTTTTATTACAATTTTTGTCTCCTTCGGAATACTTACCTAAGAGGCTTTCACAACATAAAAATTTATTAACCAAAATAAAAAATAGCTTCAAGAATACCAATAGCTTGTTATGTCATAATACGCAACATTAATTTTATGTAGTACTGTTTTATATGAATATTGTCATCTTGGATACCAATTATCCGACTTTTCCTTACGTAAACCCTACATGAACATAATAGTAAGCAATAGAAAATTTTATTTTAAAAATGATTATCGTTAATCATTTTTAATCACTAATGACAATTGCGCTTTTAGTATTTGAAATAATAATAATAAGGAACTGTTTCGTATTTTGCATCTTTTACATCGAATACATTGTTTTAACCATTTTTTACAACTCTGCCTGTATTGTATGCTTTTCTAGTGAATTGTATAATATCTAGGTACACATTTTGAATAATTTGTTAACGAATTGGAAAGTAGGTAAACTATTGCATGTAGATATTTTAGGAAAAGATTTTCTTGTCAATATCGTTACTCATAACTTTGGTTAGTTTAAATACCTTCCAAAACTTACATATTAACCAATAAAACACTTACTGCAACTACATGTAAAGGTAAAGGGATTCTAACTCTTCTTTCGAATTTGTTTTTATTTAATTATCTCAAAGTATAGAGATACGGTCTGCTAATACATAACAAACTGTGGAAATTAATTAATTAAGATTGAGATAATAATGATGACAGTTATTACTGTCAACTGTCCGCTAATCCTTGTCGAGGATAACGATAAATTGTAATACAATAGTAAAAGTTATGACTGCTAATAATGAGCATAATTTATATTGGATATACCATGTATTCGCAAAATTAAGAATCAATATTAATACCACAATTTAAAATTATTATCAATTAAGTGGGAACCAGTTAGGTAGGTACTGATATGATATACACTTTTAAAGGTTACAGTTTCTATAGCGGGTCCGTCTGGAACACGAGGATAATGAAATGATATAGATTTCCACTTTGTTCTTAATACAAATCTAATAATATTTTAGTTTTCGTTATATTTTGTTTCGAAACTTTGTGTCTATCAAGCTGTGGAATATATCAAGGCGGCTGTAGTGAACCGACAAGTGTTTTTCAAATGCGGAATCGTATTTTTCCGTACAGTTCACGGATCACCAGCATAAAAAACATTGAACCGAATGGCCAGACTATTTCTTACTTTTCCTTCCCCTTGACGGTGTTTCGGAACCGTGTGCATGCAATAATCCGCTGAAATCATCCGTGCCGACAAAGGATTTACAAAATTTGCAATTTTGAATTAGTTCGCCAAACGGCCGACGCGAGCGCTCCTGCGCCACTCTTAAAGCTCTCATGGCGGGAGATCCAACCATTCGGTTACCACCTTTATATCTTGCAGCAGTGTCATTTTCGTTTCTGTGTTGTTCTGGTGTAATAAACATTGTCGCTCTTTTACTGAAAGTAAGTGTTACTTTTTCCTAGCAGTGCTTTCTTTGAAGGATTTAAGGTTAGAGTGCCGCGGGTGCTTCTTAACACACGCTCGTCTTGTCTACCTTATCGAGTGCTTTTATCAGTGTATTGCTTTGGTACTTGGAAATGCTTTTGGCGCTTTTAATACTATTGTTGCTGTTGTTATTGTCGGTAAACTCGATGAAGAAAACGAAAGTAAATTTCTGGAGTTAAAGAGAAATCCTCAAATCGACGTCGTAGATTACTAACTAACCTAATTTTTGTGACTCTAAAAAAAGCTTCATTACGAGTTTCTTTCGTTTGTACATGCTGTGGTTTCATGTTAATTTAAATTCGATTTATTAAAAGGCATTTAGAAATGACAAAAAATTACTTTCATTATTAATTTTCATCGATTTTCAATTTTATTTATCAAAATCATTACACAGAAACTTCTAAATGTTTCTGCATCGAATTTTTTAATTTTTTTCCTTTTTCTTATCTTATATATCAATGAATTTTAGTATGCTGTTAATTGATACATTACGTAAATATTTTTAATAAATTTACGTGTATAATATATATAATATTTTTTCGAACTATTATTTAAATATTTTAATGTGTGTCTAAATTTACAATTGGCTAGCTCTAGTCAATTAATTATTCAATTCGCATTTGTACTCCTGTATTCTATTGAATTTTCATTGTATTATAATATGTAGTTACATGTGCTTTTGACCAATATTCAAAAAGCGCCCACAAAAAGTAACCGAGTTCTTTTTAAAAACGATAAGCACGAATAATCGCGCTATTCGTTCGGTTTTGTGGCGTAGAAATAATTTAGTTCAATCGAAACTGATCAGACAGCTGCTGCTGTGAAGACTTTCTACACTTTTACTTTACGCCAAAGCGGTCGTTCGTCGACATCTAATAAATAATCTGCCATTCTACATGACCTGGGGCTATTTAGTTTCATATTAAACGTCTACTATCCTTTAGATTATTTAAAAAGACACCATGACTGGTAGAACGCGCGTACCACGTACTCAGAAAGTACCATAAAAAAATGGATAGGTGGGGATAAGGTATTTCATCGTACGTATAAAATTTAATAGTAGTAACAAAATCATTTATTACCGGATAATATAAAATNTGTTTCGACAAATAAATAAAATATTTAAAAAAAAAACAATTATTGAGTTAGAAGCTTTTACTCGCGGTTTCGCTCGCGTTGGTGTCGTAAATATATGTCAAGGATCATCGACAACCGCGTAAATGTATTTTTTTATTCCTCGGGAATAGTATTTTCTTCTCGATTAAAGACAGCCTATCTCCTTTTATATGCTCCTGGCAATATCTGTACAAACTTTCATAACGATCGGTTGAATAGTTAACACGTGAAATTGTAATAAACAACCAAACCCACATTCGCATGTATAATATTAACTAGGGCCAAAAAAAAACAAAATCGGTTCAGTTTTTTGTCGTTCCTAACATTTTTTTTAAAGCTTTTACACATCGCCTGGGGATAGAACTAATATTCACTACTTTTTACTTATGTTCAATTTTTGACGTTATTACTACAATTATAATCGGGTATTAGTTATTTATACGTTTAGATAATCAGCACACTAAAATTATTCTAATGTGTTACCCATATTAATTGAATAAAACAAATCCGGAAAATTTCCCTTCAATTTTCCCATTTACGAATTATTTATTACCTCTTTGCATTCAGAATTAATTTTCAATATGGATTAGAACTCTAATAACAATGAGAAGGATATAAAGGCCTTCAGACAGGATTCAGTTTCTACTATAATCGTAAAATAAAACATATTGTCATACAAATAGGTTTCCTGACGCAGTTCGTACATTACTAGTAGAGATTACAAGCTGGTTTATCCGGAAGGGGTTTACTTTGCCAATGTTTTCTTTATTTTAAACGAACAAAACAATTAGTTTGAATATTTGCTTCATTAGTTCTTTTACCATTTGGTTTTTATATTTACTTGCTGTCTTCTTTATATTATTCAAACAGAGAAATGATCAGTGCAGCGGTGTATCTACATAAAGTCATAGATGTATTGTCACACAGACAATTAAGTCTTTCTAAATGAAATCTGTCAATCATTTTTTAACACATGAAATATCATAATTACATGTTGTTTAGAATGCTGTCGAGTCATCATGCCAGCAATTATAATTAGCGACTAGTAGTTGACCTTATTATTATTTAATCGTGAAGCCACTTAAGAAGTTAGTACTGACAAGTTGCAAACAAATTCGTTACCTTTGAATACTTATTTCATTTGAAATCTGCATAATGTACATTATTCAAGAAAATATTGTTAAATAATGATACTATAAATTCTATAGGTCCTTTACTGTACCTACTATCATCTTATTAGAAATTGATTTGATTTGAAGAATTTCTTAAATAAGAGATTGATTATAAGACGTGCCTAAAGGATTAACAGTTGATAAACATCCAAAACAACAATTGAATCAAGAAGCAATCAGATGTCTTTTGTATTTTAGACAGATTAATTAATTAAGATTTAAGTTAAATTAAAGATTAAATAATTAAAATTTTTGCCCTATAAGTATACTGACTATAAAAATTAATTTTGGTAGATGAGATAATACTGAATTTTTATGATACTGCATATACCTAATTAAGAATTAAAAAAGTTAAAATTAATTAATTATTTTTGTTACTATTGTCACTTTTACTTGTAGCGCTGTCGTTTTTAGTTTTCCAATCTAGTTTCTTTTAAAGTATTATGTTACTGAAAAATATCTATCTCTCATGTCACACCACAAAAGGCGTTTTTCAATTTGATTTCTTCTGGCCTTTCAAAAATATTGAACTTTCCTTTTTCTTTCTCTTATCTCTTCAAAAAATGCTGCTAGAGATTCTAGAAGTTTAACACATCTTGAAGTGCCTACATATATTATAATTATTGTGAAAGTTCTTATTTCAAGTCATATTGATATTACTACATACAAATTAAAAGGCTTAAAATCTGATTATTTCTTAAATTACATAATGAAGAGATAAAAATGACTCCTGCTGATATCTCGTTCACTATGAAAGTTGTCTGCCATTAATTTGTTAATGAAACCTGCTATAATAACTTCGCTTTTATTTTGTACTTGTTGCTGGTGCTATTTGTTTCATGACATACAGGAATGTAAAATGAACTCGATATCCACATAGTAACTTCCTGATTTCTATAAATATTATGTAGCAACCATAAATACATACCACACGCTGATTTTTAGAATTTTATTTTTTAGTAATAACAGGATCAAATACTGTCGGCTTTTATTAAATGATACAGGAAAGAAAGGATACATAAATGTTTATGCTGAATACGAAAATAAATCTAGCTATCTATATAACTATTCAGATTTATTCAAACTTATGATTTAATCATATCTTATCTCATATTCAAGTATTTGTAAAACGTAAATCAGAAAAGCATTTCTTTAGATTCTTTTAAGGTTCTTTAATTTTATTCTTCAGCGTTGTTAGTAACAATTAATTGTGAAGCAATGTTGTTCAATGTGTCATTTTAGAAATTAATTATTACACTTTGTTTAAAAAATTTTAAATACAATTTAAACAAATCTGCATTAATATTAATTAATTAATTCGATGCTTTCTACAGTTTTCTGCTTACAATTTAACAAAATGTGTGTAGCAATAGCAATGTATTAGCTATAAATTTTAGAGATAGAGAAAGATAAGATAAATCTATAAATTCATAATATTAAATGTGTTTCGTTAAAGGTTACGGATCAGAAATTATATTTTGTTAAATTAATTTCGATCTATACGCGATATGTTAACTGTTCTGTTTCTTGTTCACATTACTATTATCGTTTTATACAACCTCAGAAACGAGAAATATTTGGAAAATATCATTTATAGTTACTGATTACTGCTTTGGGAAAATTATTGCTTTTAAATGACTGACCGTTCCTTAGGCATTGCCATTTTAATACCACCGTGAAGCCTCGTCATCCGTGAATCTTTTGAAGAATCAGTCTGTGAAAGTTTTAAGCTTAACCGAAAACCACAAATTATATTTTAAATCCGAAAATCGACAGTCAATTACGCAAAATACTTGGTCGTATCATTGAATCACAAAATTTGACCTATATGTTTACTTTAGGTATGAAAGATAATATAAGAGGAATCTTTTTTCAGCCATTTGAAACAAAAGAATAGTCAGTTTATAACGTTTGTAATCCCATTGGAATTTGGTAGAAATCTTATTACTTATATCGACAAATGTAGAATATGAATTAAGATTGTTAAGTCATTTTTATTATAATATTATACGCAACGGTTTCTTTGAAAAAATCATCGCAGTAGGTACTACATTTACTTCTTAAAATTTATTGAAAACCCTCAAATCGAAAAATGCCGAAATTGAATGACTAAAACTAGTTAAATTTAAACCAATGTTTGAGTAGTAAAATAAGAGATTATTTCACAGAATTTTTAAGGCAGCAAGACAACTTCTTCTTAAATTGCAACCTCTTCAATGAATATAATAAATATACAAAATTTTCCTAAACTAAGCGAATAATAACGAACCCTAAAGAAGTCACAATTTGATAATGAATCGAAAATAATGTACCTAATGATTATCATAATGGGTTAGTCTTAATGCTAAATTAAATAAGTTTTAATTGTTTTAAGAGATAAGCTAGTAACTCAACACGGAAATGTCTGGTATCAAGGTGAATCTCAGTGTAAGTACTGATTCACGAAACTCATAATTAACTTTGTTTATACAATTTTCTAAGTCAAAGATTTGTTTCGTTACTTTTAGAAAGTCCACTTGTTGTGTAGTAAAAAATCGCCGTTTTCAATCACTGAAACAAAAGGACGCTTTCCACTTTGTCTACACTTGAGTTGAGTATATATACTGAGTGGATTTCTACATAATTTATAAAAACGATTAGATTTAAATTTGTAATGCAGTATGGTGATC